CGCACGCTCGACGCCCTCGCTGCCATGGGTGTCTACCAGCACGGCATCGCCAAGAACTTCGTCAACCAGAAGGCCGTGCAGGCCCACGTGTACGAGTACACGACGCAGGTATCGCTCGACTCGGATCTCAAGTTCAAGGGCGCCGAGAAGGGAATCGTGCCCTGCCAGCTGATCTTCTGTCTCAAGGAGAAGAACCAGAGAAAGCTGAACTCGCATCGTTGGTTCTTCAACGCCTTTGGAAAGGCGCTCAACCCAAACGTCTGCATCTTGCTCGACGTCGGTACCAGGCCGGGCGGCACATCGCTGTACCATCTCTGGAAGGCCTTCGACAACGACTCCAACGTTGCGGGTGCCTGTGGTGAGATTAAGGCTATGAAGGGAAAGTTCGGATCGAACCTGTTGAACCCCTTGGTGGCTTCGCAAAACTTTGAGTACAAGATGTCTAACATCCTGGATAAGCCTTTGGAGTCTATCTTTGGGTATATCACTGTGTTGCCCGGTGCACTTAGTGCGTACCGTTATCATGCTTTGCAGAACGACGAGACGGGACATGGCCCTCTCAGCCAGTACTTCAAGGGAGAGACGCTGCACGGCCAGCATGCAGATGTGTTCACGGCCAACATGTACCTTGCTGAAGATCGTATCCTCTGCTGGGAGCTTGTCGCTAAACGGGGTGAGAGCTGGGTGTTGAAGTATGTGAAGGGCTGCCACGGTGAGACGGACGTGCCAGGTAAGAAGTTCCCCTTGCGCTATTAATCGACCATGACTAACACACTCATAGACACTGTTCCTGAGTTCATCTCGCAGAGACGTCGTTGGCTGAACGGAGCCTTCTTCGCTGCCGTCTACTCCCTCGTCCACTTCAAGCAGATCTGGTCCACCGACCACACCTTCGCCCGCAAGGTCCTCCTCCACATCGAATTCGTCTACCAGTTCCTGCAGCTCATGTTCACCTACTTCTCCCTGGCAAACTTCTACCTCACCTTCTACTTCGTCGCCGGCGGTCTAGCCGACCCGACAGTAGACCCCTTCGGTCACAACATTGGTCTCTACATCTTCACCTTCCTCCGGTACACCTGCGTGCTGCTCATCTGCGCACAATTCATCCTCTCCCTCGGCAACCGTCCGCAAGGCGCCAAGAAACTGTACATGTTCAGCATGATCGCCTACAGCGTCATCATGATCTACACGACCTTCGCCACGATCTTCATCGTCGTCCGGCAGTTCAAGGAGAAGGACAACCCGAACATCCACCTCGGCCAGAACGTCTTCACAAACCTCATCGTCTCGACCCTCTCCACCGTCGGCCTCTACTTCATCATGTCCTTCCTCTACCTCGACCCCTGGCACATGTTCACCTCCGCGGGCCAGTACTTCATGCTCCTGCCCGCCTACATCTGCACCCTCCAGGTCTACGCCTTCTGCAACACCCACGACGTCACCTGGGGCACCAAGGGCGACAACGTCATGAAGACGGACCTCGGCGGCGCCGTCGGCAAGGGCAACAGCGTCGAGCTCGAGATGCCCTCGGAGCAGCTCGACATTGACTCGGGCTACGACGAGGCGCTGCGCAACCTCCGCGACCGCGTCGAGGTCCCCGCCAAGTCTCTCTCGGAAGCCCAAATGCAGGAGGACTACTACAAGAGCGTGCGCACGTACATGGTGCTCTCGTGGCTCATCGCCAACGCCATCCTCGCCATGGCCGTCTCCGAGGCCTACAGCGAGCGCGGCATCGGCGACAACTTTTACTTGGCGTTCATCCTGTGGGCCGTCGCTGTGCTCGCCGTCTTCCGCGCGCTCGGCAGCGGCACGTACGCCGTGCTCAACCTCGTCAGCATCATCGTGCACAGCGAGGGCCGCCTGAGTCTCAAGATGCCCAAGTGGATGGGCGGCTTCGGCGAGAAGGTCAGCGAGAAGATGAGCAGCCTGTCGAGCAGCGTCGGGGGCAGCAGTGTGGGCGGGAGCAGGCTGAGCGGGACGAGGTTGAGCGGGACCAGCCGCTTTACGAACCCTTTCCGTCGTTGAGGCGGGTTTCCCTTTCCCCGCTTGCTTCACCACACACCTTCTTCTCAAAGGAGGTCACGACTCGACGAAACGAAATATGTGTCTTGCAGCCTTGGCGTTTTACGGTTTTCCCATTCCTCCCCCTACCCCCATTTCCTCGACCCTTTTCTTTTGGAAGAATGAAGGACTGCAAGAGAGGTAAGTTACTTGTTTGGGCAGGATACTTGTGTTTTGTGTGTTGCTTTTTGAAGAACGCAGTTATTGATATCAGATGGGCATGATTGGGAAAGATTGATGCGGTCAGACAAACGCTTTTGTAATGATGGAGCGAGAGATGATGGAAAACGCATTTGTGTTGAATGTTGATTGTTGTCTTGTGGACTTGTGCGAAAGAGACGTACAAGACCTTTGGTGTAAATAGATAAAAACGTGATGGGATGCCATCCATCATTGGGACCTATCCTAAGGGAGGGTCTTTGATTTTGATTTTTGCAATTGAGTGATATACCCCGGTACCTTTCTCTCTCATAAGACCCTGAACTTGGATGCAATGTGATGTGTATCAAGGATGCTTCATTTCCAATTCTTGCTTGATGTTAACAACTTATATACACCCAAAACAAAACCGCGGAACTAGCCTCCAGCACTGGTATGCTTGGCTTAAGTGTTGTTCGGCTAACAAAATCAGTGCCCTTGGTTTCATTGCTATGTGTGCCCTAATTACGTCTCTCCCTGCGGTCCGAATATTCAATGTTGCTCCTCACTCCAGCCATACAGTAGTCTCCCAAAATGCTTTCCCTCATATATTCCCTCCTAAAAACCTGTTGCAAACGGTAGCGACGATTCCGACGAGTAACCCACCGTATCCGCTCAAAACCTTCCACGTTTGTCTACTGACATAATCTACCGGTCTGCTCACTGTCCGAATCGCCCAATATGTTATCGACAGTGGCTTCTTGATGAAACACCGCCAAGGTGAAGCAGAACAGTCCACAGAATCAACTATAGCCTGGTGCAGTACGCGACCTGGACACTTCTTCCCATATGTATCCCATGCCCGAAGGGCTCGCTTTTGTCTTGAAGTCGCTCCTCCTGGGACATTCCCGGAACGCATGAGAAAACGGGTAAAGTCGGCGTGTTGAGCTGCGGCTTTCTGCATGCCAGGTCTGAGTAACAGCTGAGCCATGGACTTTGATATGTCAGGCCATTCCTGAGTGGCTTGCTTTGTGAAGCGACCCTTCCGGATTGCGTTGTGGTGAAATCCTCGGAGAATATCAGCTGCTACGTTCGATATGTAGTCGAAGACTCTATCGGCCTCATAACTTGCTAGATGAACGACATCCTCTTCCTCCAAAAAGGGTAGGCGTATCTGTCTTCGCTTGAGCCGCGTGTTGTGAAAAAGACATCGTTCCTCCCATGCAATGTCTCTACCAGCGGACAACTTGAGAGGCTTTGTGTAAACATTCTCGAGCCACAAACGAGCCTGAGTCGCGTTTCCCGTCCCGGTATGCCACATTGATAGATATAGTGCAAGCTGGCCCAACTGACATTGAGACTCATTGGTGGGGTCGAAATACGCGTCTTCCTCGTCAGCGGGACATTCGACCTCGATTCTGAGTTCCCTCCTCCACCAGTTGCTATCATTTTCCTCGCAACAACACTCAAGCTTTCCGTCCTCAGTCTGATACTCATAAGCGTAACAATTCCTCGAAGGAGCGCGTGCTTCACGTTCCTCAGCCCACGAAATGGCCAGCTGGTGGGCACTGTACTCTCCAAATTCGTTCTTGGCCAGAGTCCCAAACTGCCTAGCCATATATGAAACGAGAGAGGGCCAAGACCTCAGACACCTAGACCTCTTCCAGTCCAAGAGGTGGATCATCATGTACGGCGTTGTCGTTTCCGCATTGTTTCCGATACGTCCGCTCAGCACTGCTGTTGAAAAGGGGTCCGTTGCGTCTTTCGTGTATATGATAGCTCCTGGCAGTCGTTTGATTTTCTGCCAGTTTATAAGAGGGCTCCAAGGTTCTTGGTTACAGAATATCATAGTCGCCAGAGTCCATGATACAACTGCACGGAACAACTCGTTCTTTTCCTTTGAATCGTGAAGATTTCCGTAGAGGCACGTTTCCACCAGATCGTGGCTGTCATTGAACTCCTCGACGCTGAAATCGGTCTCACCGCGCTCACCATAGACCCCTTCAAACAACCCCGTCATTTCCGTGTGGCAGACCTCCAGTATTAGACCATACCCAACTTGCAAGCCTGCCATAACGGGATGTTGGTGCACGGTGGCTTGACCGTGCCAGATGGAGAGCCAGGAATACAACCTATGGTCGAGATCTTCGTCTTTCTTATACAGTCCATGCGCTGCATAATCGAACAGCAGATCGAGTATGGCGTCGTTGTGAGTGGGGAGAAGTTTTGCAGCTTGGCAAATAATCCATATGGAGTCCGAGATCGAGTCTTCCCAGGTTAGTGGCCGTTTCAGACTATCCAGATCAATCCATTTCACAAGTAAACGGTGCATCCGGTCGGAATCTGTTGACTGCACTGGTTGTGAGCGAAACGTAGAAAGAAAACGTTTGATGTCGGTGATGTATGCCAAGGCACTATGTGCTTCCCGACTGTATGGGTAGAGATTGAAAATGTTGCCTTTCGTAACATCATACCAAACGAAGGAAAAATCAATATGGTCGTATGGAGAAGTACAGGGGTCTGTGCTGGTGTAGAGGGAGTACAAATGTGAAATATGGTCCAAGGGCCTGTTATGTGTGCGGTCATCCATGGCGTACGCGTGTATTATGGCCACTGATGTTTCTCTCATTACCTCTTGCTCATGGAGACTTAAACGAAGTCTTGACCACAAGTGGATCAATGGGTGTACGGAAATATCACTAGTACCGAAATTCCGTTGAAAAAAAGAGAATGACAGAAGGATTCCGAATGCCTCCTGGACTTGCATTTCTTGGTCACACCAAAAGGATCAACACTCCATTTCAGGTGATTGATGGATTGAGCTTACCAGAAAAGAAACCCCCATAAGCGAAAAGCTCATGAGAAATCCTTTGGGGTGCGAGATTGCCTGATATCAGCAGCATCGTGGCGGCTTCTGGCATTTTCTTCTGCACTGCGGCAAAAGAGATTTCCCATGTAGTAAGCACGGTGTCGTCTTTCATATCCCAATCTACCATCCGGGCCCTTCGGCTCAAGATATCTCTTGGATATTTTTCGTACAGATCGAGGTATGTTTTAAAGGGTATTCGACTGTGATGCATCGCTATGTAAGCTCCTGCTTGTGATATTGCGAGCGGTAAATGTGCAAGCCGTTGAATGATAGCCTCAGCGCTTCGATGTTCTAAGTCTCTGTAAGGTGGCTGATTTTGATACTATCGACAGCAACGTTACATACCTTCTGTCCCAGTCTCGGGATATGAGTTACTGCTTCGCATGAGAAGACCAAAACTTTCGTCGTGATTCATTAAGGGAACTTCAATTGAGTTCCAACTGACTGCCAAGTCTGATCTTCGGCTAGTGACGAGAACAGATCCCCATATAGTAGAAGGGAGAATTTCCTTTAAACTGACACTTTCAGGGTCATCGAGATTGTCGATTATGAGTAGCCACGATTTGTTTTCTTCGTATGCCAGCCACGCTAGGAAAGCCTCTTTCGCCCTTCCCAGATCCATATACTCTTTTAGAAAGCCAAATCGTGGACTGTCTGTTATTCCTCGAACTTTGTAATGCGATAGAATGTGGTTGACACACTCTTTAACACTCGTTTTGAATGTGTCCGGACGATGAGCATCGATCCAAAAGACCGATCCATAATGTTGCTGTTGCCTCCGGACATACTCGAGTGCGAGCTGTGTTTTGCCTATCCCTCCTGGGCCGTAAATGACGGCCACGCGAGTTTCCAGTTGATCTGGCTCCCGTCGGAGAAGGTGGTCCATGGACTCCAAAGTTTGATTTCTGCCAGTGAAATGGCGATTCCAAATATTCTTGAAGGTAACTCCTGTTTTAAACTCTTTGGGAATTTGTCCAATATTGCTGCTACTCTCATGCTGGATGTGATGTTCTGCTAAATGTGTCAGCCGCTGGTATGGATTTTAGTTGTGGTAGTTAAGGACACAGACCTCTTATGGAGCTCCAATTCTCCCAGTTTCTTATGATTCTTGCAGTCGCCTCCGTACAGTAAAGATGCAACATTGTGGCAACGTTCAAAAAGTTGTCATCTTTTGGTCCGGTAAACTTCACCATCGTGGAATGATCAGCATCCAGTGGAATGGCTTCCGCATTCGCCGCCCCAAATACAACAGCTGAAAACTCGGGTACGACCTGCGTTGGGTTCTGTCAGAATTTTCTTTAAGTGTTGCTAGAGGGTTAATGGTAATACAAGGGGCAGGGGAAATCTGTGCTTAGCCAACCAAACGTGTCAATCGGGATATAAAAGATCGACTTTGTCACCGGATTGGGAACCCAAACAGTGTTTTTCTATTACTCACCAGAAGTCGACCACGCAGTGGTATTGACATTGGGCGAGTTTCATAGTAAAATACTGTCTTGAATTCGTGACTGATGGCGTTGTACTGTCTTTGCAGATCAACGAGCCGATCCGAATTCCGCTTCAAATCTTGCAATGGCGTGTCGTTGGTGTTTGAAAACAAGGATAGGACTTTCGTGAGTATTTGGGCAAGATCGACCCCTTCTGCTCCTTGATGCGGCGTTCCAATGAAGAATACTGCGTGAGTTGATAGCTTGACTGACTTATGTTCCTCCAGATGAGCAGGCCCAGTCATGTGTGAATGAAGAAGGGCCTTAAATACATCAGTAAGCGGTCACTCGACTTTTATTCCATAGTGTTGTTTGCTCACATTCTTAAGGATTATACCGCCGAGACTATGGACAATGAAGATTATGGGTCGCTGCTTGGTCTTTGTTCACATACGTCAGTCTCAAACTCAAGATGCCGGGGCCGCGAAATGCTTTAGGGGGATCATGAAGTCATCTAAAAGCTTGACTGTAACTCACATTTGTTTGAATTCGCTCTGCAGTCAGAACCCTCACCAGTTCACGTCCGTGGACTGATACGTCAGTCAAGGGAACTTCGCCTCCTCTTGTATTAGAGTTATGGCTGTAAGAGTAAATGCGTGCCTTTGGTAGTTTGTTGGGAAGGAGATCTTGAAGCCAGAAAGTTCCGTTGTCAGCGGTCCAGGACCTTCTCCAGTGGCCATCAAGGCCATGGACAGCAACGATGCTGATTCACCGTTCGTCAGCATCGTAAATCAGAAATGTGGTCTTTTGAATCAGCCCAGGAACTTACTCTACCTCGGCATCTGGTGGATTGACCAGGAGATTGAGTCCGAGAGCTCCAGGATCCGACTTTTGAATGACAGAAAGTGCGGCAAAGCAGCAACCATAGAAAAGGAAAGCAAACTGTCGGGTTTCGTGCGTTAGACGGTAAACTTTTCCAATTTAAAATTCAATGAACTCGGCATTCACACACAAATGCGGTCATTTTGAAACGATTTCAAGCTCGAGGGGTTTCGTGAAGCCGATAATCATGATCAATATTAGTGTGTGGCGGATTGTAGCGCGTGAGGCTATGCGTCCCACGGGGAGAGGTTGCGAGTGGGCAAAAATGGGTTAGACAGGAAAGCATTCGCACTGCCTGCAAAATGCATTCCAACCAGATGGATTTCTATGGTTATATACTACGTGACATTGCGGCACAGACGTGCTAGTGCGCGGAGTGCTGGTCATCATTGGAAGTTGAATTGGTGTGTTGATCTCACTTATAATAGGTCGCCTTAGAGATGATCACCAATTTGGCCGCACAGGAATGTACAGTTCGCATTGCCTTAAATCGCCCGAAAAGACATCTGAGACGATTTAGGCAGCCGCATGGTCATCAGTGAGGACGCCCATTCTGGCCTCTTTCCTTGCCTCCCACCTCTGCTTGACTGCTCTCAACATCGTCGAAACAAACCGTAAAGGATTGTGTCGAGAATACTTTACCAAGCGGAATAATGTTTGTCGTAGCTCGATCCTATTCAAGCAGCAATCAAAATGTCATCAAATCCGCCACCTACGGAAAATATTGCCAAGGCGTCCAGAGTCAGCGTCACCCCAGTGCCAACACAGAACTCGAGTCAGATTAGCGATGAGCCTGAGAAGACCACCAAACATTACTCAAACGACGAGGGAACTGAGACTTCCGTCAAGGACTACCAGATATTCATCACCATTATGCTTACAATATCCATCTTCGGCGCATCCACATTTGCCATCATTGCCGGCCAAATGGAGGACCCAGCAGAACTTTGGAAGCCAAAGCAGCCACCATTCACCTTGCCTACAGTAAGAAGATTTCTCGCAGTAGCATGGCTGTGTTTTATCCTCACGATAGCTATTGCGGGCTACAGCTCGAGTCTGCTCACCATTCTACGTCAGCAAGCTCAAGAGGCCGATGATAAGTCCTGGCATCGAAACTGGGATAAGATTGGAATAGCAGCGTCAGCAATGATGCACTTATTTCTCGTTCTGGCTTTTCTGTTCTTGTCCTTGGGTCTAGTTGCGTATGTGGGGGCACTGGGATGGGTTGGGGTCGGGTTTTCCACGCTTGCTGGCGCTTTTGTGATCGGGTTATCCGTCTTTCAATGCCGGTAAGTTTCGCCAGGGGACTACAAATAATTTGATTCTGAACACTTACTATAAAAGGAGCCACCATCGCCATAGAAAGTCTCAGTGAACATATCTGCTCGTCAGTCGATACCATAGCACGTATGAGAGACTCAGGGCAGTATTTAAAGTCATTCGAACGCGATGAAGGAGGAGGGGCCTTGTTCTTTTACGGTTTTTATCCTTTAGAATACCTAGATGATTTCCAAAGCCTTGACGGGAGAATTTCTTTTTTTTTTATGCACAAGCAACTGTATAGATCTCCCAAATATCATGCTCGCTATCATGTGCTTGGGACGGTGGCAGCTCAGTCCTCAGAAACGAGTTTAGACTTCAGATGCAGGAAAGAAGACAGACTTGCATGAGAACCCCGTTTCCCGGAATTGATAGCGGCTTCTTGCATTTGATTAGAGTATGATTCCAGAACGCATCAACTTTCTTTGGATACTTTGGCTTAAGAGGTAGCTGTTCTGTTCGGTGTCATCGGTGCTCGCTGTTTGAACATAGGTGGAAACATGCGACTTGCAAGGTTTGTATCCGGTCATAAGCAGCACAAGTGCCAATAAGATATCGATCAAGGAAATGTGACTCTGGTAGGGAACTACAGCTCATGCTGCGGACTCAATGCTGATATTCCAATCATTCGGACAACGCGGAGAGACTGGAAGACTGTCCGCATTGGTGCAAAGGCGACATGCGAGATGTTCAGATTCACGTTAATTGAGCGGCTCTAGTTAAGCTCCACGGAGTGTGTAAGTACTATTCCACGCCGGTGCATCTCTGTTGCATAGGCCAAAGGGCGTCCAGCAGTCAGAGCCATCCATATGAAGGGTCGGGGTTGCCCGAAAATGGTGTCCAAAGCTCCCTACCGGACCGTCAAGTAATCCCGGCCGGCCTCGGCGATTCGGGCAGTTTCAGGCCCCCGCCCCCGCCCCCACTCATCGCCGGATACTGTCCTCCATTGACATCACGCCGGAACTCAGCTCAGCATCCTTTTTATCAAAGTCCTTCGAACTCAATTGAAAGTGTCATATGTCAAAGCTTCGCCTAGATATTTATGAAAACCCATTTTAAGACTCTCCGAAACCTTGAGCTTGCTTCTGCTTCTAGTCTGCAGAATATGCCGAAACTCATACCCGGCGCTCACGTGATGCAATCGATGGTGAAATCACGTCTGAGGATGGCGACAGATGGCGAATTGCACCCGACCAACCCAGTTCCCCCTCAAACCATCTGATAGATGACAAATGCGTATGATGCCACTCGGCGAGATGTCGTGTTTGACGGGGGAATGTTTCTCTATTTATTTCACTTGCATGTATTGTACATCTCAGGTCTGAGCTTCTACAGTACTGAACTCGTCCTTGTCTTAGCTTCTTGGTCTAAGCTTCTGTGGAATTAAGATGGGCGGCGAAAGGAAAATCAAGTCTGTGGCCATCATTGGCGCCGGCGCTGCGGGTAAGCCACGCCCAATGTTAGACGGAAGAAGTCATGCCACGACACGATCGTCAGTGCATTTGGCTTGGCGATCATGATTACGGTTACGGTAGAGCTGACTTGAACTTCGTCCAATATAGGTGCTGTCACAGCTGCTGCTTTCAAGGCAGAAGATTATTTTGAGAAGATTCGGGTGTACGAGCGAAGAGAATCTGCTGGTGGAACATGGTACTGTTCTTTCATTAACGCTGCTACCTGTGCAAACATAAGACTGACTGAACACGCAAAGGATATACGATCCGAACCCAGCCGAGCTCCCTCCACTTCAGCCGGGATTACTGCCTCCGGAACTAGACCCGGCGTTGGAGATCCCGGCTGAGCTTCCGCAAGTGAAGCCGCATAGCACCTCCCAGGAGAGGTACACGCAAACGCCGATTTACCACTCCCTAACGTGAGCCTCTCCCACTTTCCAGCTTGAGGAAATCTCCACGCTTTAATTCTGCTGACATGTTGATAAGTACCAATGTGCCAGACATCGCAATGTCTTTCTCCGATTCAAGATTCGCCTACGGACCTTTCGCACCACACTGGATCCCACGACAGTACATCGAAAACTACTTCTCGCAGCACAAGACGGATGATATTCTGGTGCTCAACACGACTGTCGAAGATGTCACAAGGATTGATGCCGTTGATCGGCCTGAGCAGTGGCGATTGACATTGCGGAGATTCGACCCGGCAAGGAATGTCGATGTGTGGTGGCAGGAGATTTTTGATGCCGTCGTCTTTGCGAATGGGCATTACTCTGTTCCCTACGTATGTTCAATCCCAAATCCAAAGTCACCACAGACTAAAACATTATAGGTCCCCCAAGTGAAGGGTCTCGAGGAGTACATCAAGAAATTCCCAGGCCGCGTTGTTCACTCGAAGATCTACCGTTCACCGCAACCCTACGCCGGCAAGAAGATTGTTGTAATCGGCAACTCAGCATCAGGTCATGATGTTACGGCTGAGCTTGTCGGGACGGCCGCAGAACCTGTGATCCAGTCTCGTCGGAGTAAGTCTCGCTGGGATGGTGATGAGCCACCCCCTGGTCAGGCTTGGAAGCCCGTCATCAGAGAGTTTCAACCCGACGGACGGATCGTATTCGAAGACGACACCTACTTGGACGATGTAGATCACGTTATCTACTGTACGGGCTATAAGGCTTCGTATCCGTTCTGGAACAGCAAGGAAAACAACAATCGGCCGCTGTACGATTACAAGAAAGGAAAGCTGGTCAAGATCTTCTGGCACACATTCTTCCAGGATTTCCAAACTTTGGGTATTGTCGGCATGCCCCGCGTTCTCACATTCAGAAGTTTCGAATACCAAGCCATCGCCCTGGCAAGATTATTTTCTGGAAGGAACTCTGTCGCACTACCGCCTCTCGAGGAGCAAGAACGCTGGGAAAGAGAAAGAGAAGAGACAGTCCGAAGGGAGGGCAGAAAGTTTCACGACATTCCATGGGAGACAGGCGAGACCTTCGAGTGGCTCACGGGTCTCTACAGGGTGGCGGGCCTGCCGACGCTCAGAGGTAAAGGGCGGGTGCCTCCTGTGCTTTCCGAAGATCTGATATGGGCGTTGGAGCATTTGAAGAAGTACCCCGAGCCGGGTAACGGAGATGATGAGGAGTCCAGGGGTCAGATGAACAACAGTAAACCAAAGCAAGTTGACGCATATCACCATGAGCGTCTCGATGGAGAGGCCAGAGGGCAGTGGTCGCTACCGGCGCGTCCTAAGAAGGATTTATTGAGCTTTATATAAATATCCTGAACCCGGAATAGACTGAAGGCAGAGTGAGAGAAGAGAAAGGCCACATAAGCCTCTCTTCATGGATGATTGAAGACAGATGGTCCTACTTATTGACCCACTTCCAATCGTGAAGCTTCTTGGCCCTTGAATTATAACAACTCTTGTCTTCGCACCAAGTGGAGTGCCGTAGTTCCTCATCTTGTGTGTAAGTACTAGGATCAATGCCCAGAATCCATCCGAAGCTCTCTTCAGTAAGGCCAGAGTGCGCGGCTGCAAACTTGAAGTCTGTGGTAATGTCCCAAGACCCCAACAAAACGACGTAGTCGTTTTCTTCTAGTCTCCATAGATATTTAAAACTGCAACGACCGCAAAATATTGAGTGTTGGTGTTTCCAGTCATCGTGCGCCATGAATCTGCCGATCAAATTTGTATCGTCTTTTGCATGACAAGCGCAGCAAAAATGGTGGGTATGATCTGACTGAGGTCCGCTTGGTGGATGCCAGTGACATTTGTTATCCATAACCGCCGGGTCTCTAAAACATGCACACCGATTTATGTTGAATGGCAACATAAAGACATCTTCGTCGGTGAAGCGTACGTGTGGGCAACACAAATCCCCATGGTCTCGTTGTAGCCTCTTCATACCTTGTCGAAGAAGGTCTTTGGTGACGACTTGAGTCGGCTGGAGTTGGCAGACTACAAGCTTCCACTCCAAGGTCATATTCATGGTCGTCCGTTGAGCTGGAAATGCGGGCGTTGTATTTGTCGCAGTCGCGGCACTCCTATTGAAAGCTATCGGACTGGGTTGGTACGAGTATGGCCGCTTGATTAACCTGGGTCCCATGCCGGGCCATCCAATGCTCTTGGAGCACTCCGCACATTCAAAGAGGACAGGTTCTGTATCGCCCCTTGTAGCCATTTGCAAGGAGATCAGCGAAGACCATGACATATCGTGGTGGGAGCAGATTCGGACACTGCCCTCCCAGCCAATGCAAATCTGCGGCCCTTTTGATATCGATTCACAGAGAACCAGCTCTCATTGTGCATGGCATCACAATAATGGCAAAAGAGCAAGCGGCTTGCAGACGCTTCTGGGCCATGTGAACACTGCTTTTCGGTAGACGATTCCACGCGCTTCCAACATTCCTGGCATAGGCCTTGGCGCAGGCGATGGCCATGGCGCAAACTTTTCAACTTCTTTTTGCCGTCATCTTGGAGACGAAAAGTCTTGAAAGCTGGAACCTGCCGCTGTACTTGAAGGTCAAATATTGACCTGAATAGTCGTTGTAGCCCTGAAGGCTTCCATTGCGGTGTTTGCTTTTCTTCTGCCGTTTCATAGTTCTCAGCAAATGCGCCTCTCAAGGATAGTTGGAAAATCAGACTGCATGTCTGTCGGAAAAGAAAAAACTCCTCAGGCTTGAGGTAAAGCATGACTTCGATGAGGAGTTCTCGGGGCATCCAATGAATGGTGGAGTTGAGCTGGTTTTCGTTTCTGCGATCCTCCCAGCCCGTTGTATACGTGTAAGCTGTAGCATGTCTGTCAAAAGTGCAGACGTCTTTGCGATACTTGATGCACCGTTTCTCGGGATACGCCGTCTT